AACAATAATATTTTTTATATTAACAATAAGTAAACGATCAATTTAGTATATTTATTGTTAGATTAAAAATATTGAAATTAATATTAAATATATAGCGACTAATACTTTAACGCGAAGAGGAATATTAAGAAAAGTAACTAAAATTAAACAGCGATTATATTTCGATATTACAATTTTATTGCTCTTTTATTTTAAATTGCTATTATTTTGATCTCCTTTACGAATAATGTTTTGTTAACGGCTTTTAAGGATTTTTCAAATGTCTGCAAAAAATGTGAACGAAAAAAAAAATGCTATTCATCGTAGGCCTAACACATTTTGCTGTTATCAGCAGCTACATTATGTACTCGCATCGTCATTTTGGCCGATCGTTTGCATAGTAACATCATTTAGTAACCAAATTACAAACACACGTGCCATATTTTATAGTATCTTTTCAGTCTCGCGAATATTTATATTTTTTATAAATCTAAAAAAAATCCTTTCACCGGCACGCCTGACCTTCGTCGCGACTCATTCGTATCAATAGAGATAAAATTCTTGAGCCGCAACATTGCCAACTGAATACTTTATCGGGCAGTAAGTTGCACAAGGAGATAATATGTCGAATCTCTACGTTATATCACAGGATTGTCTTGCCTTAATTCTCGAATATTCATTTCACATGTACTTTGAATGTCACAAGAAAAAGAAGTCTCGTTTTGTCAAAATATATTTTTATTATTATTTTTTAAAAATATATTCACTGCGTCGATAGTGCAGTAAATATATTTGGATATAAAATATGAATTCTTATAAATTTTATTTTCTGTCACGTGTAGAATAATGCGCGAATAGTTTAGCATGAGAAATAGCGGAAGTCTCCAAATTTAGTATTTTTGATTATTCTTATTATATGCATTCAATATTTGAAATGCTAATTGTTCTGTTTTAATTGAAAATAAAATATAATTGTGACGTAAAGAATTATGAATCTACAATCATCTCGTTTCAATAAACTTCGGACTTTGAATTTCGACATTTTATATATGTGTGATTATATACACTTCGCGGGATCTTCTCAAATTTTATTTCGCACTTTTCGAGTGAGTTGTGCATCATTATGATGCCATCTGTTTCAAACGGGACACAAGGGAAGTCTTTAACTATTAAAAGAGAGAAAGTTTCGGTCGACGTGTGGAATGTACCTGCCGCATCGATCGTATATTACGCATTTAGGACACAGTAGGTACCGTGTTTTACATATTCAGGACACGGTAATGGCACTGGAGTAATAATTCCCTTCTTCGTCGAGAGACACGCGTCGCTTGCCCGTCGAATTTTTCTCACGAATCTAATGCCGATATGAGAAAATATGGATTCTAATATATATATATAAAATATGTTTTCTCACATATATATTTATTATGGCTCCAAAAATTAGCATTGTAGGAGGATATAGTCGGATAATATTTTACAAATAATAAATCATTCCGCAAAGTAGAGCGCTTTAAGTAAGAAATTGAATTTATAGGGTGTAAAATTTCATATTATCGATATATCTTTTTTTTAATTCTCTGTGAATTAAACCGTTTTTACACAATAGTGGCTGAATGTAACATGAATTCTTGAAACTCCGCAACGAAACTGAATAGAGATATAAAATCGAGGAATTGCATCAGCCAAGTATTATAAATCATCGAGTATAAGGCGCCTACGAGCTTTTCTCTTGGGGGTTGGAGAGACAGAGGGGAAGGAATCGCATTTCACCGTTACATTTTCACCGCGTTAGCGATGGATCGAAGCAATTAACGCTATCTGCTTCAATACGGCATATGGTTGCAAGAGATAAAGGAATCGCTTTCTATTTCTCAGCTGACGTCACTGCTGAGTGTAGCATGCTGTATATACGAATACAGAGACTCCTTTAATTACTTTAATTACTTAAGCATCAATGCTTTACGAACTTTGTAGAAAGAAATATCTATTTTATCTCATTTGTAGTATATAAAATAGCGGTTATTTACTTCCTTCGAAATATTCCTCTTTATAATCGTAATAAATTGTGGATGTTTTATTATTCACGTATAAATTCTGATAAAATTATGTAAGAAATATTAATAGAATTCTTTTAACACATAAATGTACTTAAATATCACCGTTTTTTCCAATGTTTTAATTAAAAATTTTGACCCAAGCGCTGTTTATCTTCCATTTTAATCATTTATAAGAACAGAATCGAGTTCACACATCCCACTTTTTATCTTTTATCCTAAAATCCACATATCTTTGATATTAAATATCAAGTTATTTCATAGCGCGTTAAATCAATTTCATTAGCTCTGCTGTTCCACATTTGACCCATTTTTATTTTTAAAATGCGATATGTCTCTATAGCCCTGTTGATTCTGATATTTTAAAATTTCACGTTTGATCAAAACCGTGTTATTATTGACGTGATACACGATCGTTTGTTAATAAATGTGGCGGCGGCGTAAGTTTAAATTTTTTGTTCTTTTTCGGACAAAAATACAAGGTTGATGCATGCGTGCAATCCTTACGCCATTAGCAAATGATTAATATCCGTGGGTGTCAAAGGTGAACGAACGTCGCGCGTTTGTCGCGTCAATCGCTGATAGTAAAATTGTAGACGCGACAAATGTTTTAGTACATTTCGCGGGCACTTGCCATGGACAAAATAAAAGCAATTTTAGTACATAACACACGGTGAATCATCGCGATTAGCGCGCCGAGTTTTCGCGCGGGTTGCTCCTCACGAAATTCTTGCGCTGGACCATTTCTCTCACGCACCGCCTAATTTGATGATGAGCTCTTTACGAATAAAGCTTCAGAATAAGCGAATAAATAACATTAATTCGAAGGAGATTTTAACACAAGAAATTATCTTGATTTAAAACTTAGATTTGATGTTTCGAAATGTTTTCTTCAGAAGAGATTTGGCATCAGATTCACAAGAAATAGTGATCTAAGTCTAGCTTCTATTTTTCTGGGAATATTCTATTTATCTGTTTCGTGTTATTTATTGTTAGTTTTGCAATTATCTCGTTATCTCGGAATAATGTTTTTATATGCGTATCTGTAAAATGTTTTATCTGGGGTTAGAATGGCAAACGATTAATGAGTCTTCAAAATTCTTTTTAAATATTTTAACTCTATTTAATATTTATTTAATATCTCAAAGAAGTCCTGATATATAAATATCTCACTTTTTTAATTTTGTTATATTCTTTGATAAGATAAATACATGCTGAAAAGAATTTTAATTGAAACCTAAATAAATTTTTAAAATCTAAAAAAATATCCCAAAAAAGAAAAATATGCATGTGAAGTTAAAGAATTGATATTGCAATTTATATATGTGATGCGCGAATTCATTGATCCAAATTTTATTTTTCGCTCTTAAAAACACTCACCGACTTAAATTAGTTGCCTTTCCCCTCGAAACACTAGTGATTTATTTGTGGGCTTGACACATTTTAATTCGGTCGCACTTGTAGCTAATTTTACACAGTATATCAAATTAGTTTCGTATTTATAGTATTATATAATATATCGCATAGCCGTGCCTTCTCATTTATCAATATTCTCGATTACCTATATCATTGCGATTTTAGAGAACGTATTGCAAAATTAATGTCAAGTCTCGTTTTTTATATAATCCACCGAAAATTGACGCAACTGACAATTTGAATATCAAATAACGAAAAAGAGATAATAGTTACAAGAATGTACAATTTATAGATCAGAGTTTTATAATCAAGTTCTATTCAAATTTTACAAATTTATTAACAATAATATTTTTTATATTAACAATAAGTAAACGATCAATTTAGTATATTTATTGTTAGATTAAAAATATTGAAATTAATATTAAATATATAGCGACTAATACTTTAACGCGAAGAGGAATATTAAGAAAAGTAACTAAAATTAAACAGCTTGGAAAGAAAATTATTTTTCAAAAGCGAGTTTTACGCAAATTTCTTTTTGCTTAAATGCTTCATACACAGTATGGCATGCGAAGAACTTGTATCTTCCTCAGCACTTGAGACGTCTCCTTCTTTGTAAAAATCCATTCTTATCTTGAAAATTTTTTCTACAATATCTGACCTTAATTATTATCTCGCTAAAACTGATTTTCTTATAAAGCAAGTTTTTTTTTTTTTTTTTCGAAAACCAAGAGATAAATACTTATCGTAACCCGTTTTCCCCGGAAAAAAAAAATGTTTTGTTTTTTTTTTTTTTTTTTTAGTCCGACTTTTACATTATGTTAATTAAAAATTTACAGTTTGCACACGAATTAGCTCGCCTCTCAGTAGTGCTCAATTATCAATTCCAATTGAAAAATACATTCTCTCTCACACACGTACACACAACGTAACGTCGCGCATGACATCGTTCCCTTTTATTCCGCTTGAAAGCCGCAATCTCGCAGTGGTAAACGATTCGACACTTTGTTTGCCGGTCCGTGGGCTCTGAAGCACACGCGGCGCTTTGCGAACTTGTTCTCTCGTACGCACGGCACCGGAATCGATATATGAAAGTGACACGCGCGCGAGAGAGTTTCCATTGAATATTAGGTTTTAAAGCGCGGTCCAGTTCTGTCGCTCTCCGCACTGTCGTGTTTGTCCATTATCGCGCTTACCCATAACGCGAGCGTTATGGGTGAAACGCGTTAAATCCAGAAACCGCGAGCGAGATTTGTTTTAAAACGAAGTGTCTCTATCGGTTGATGTATAATTTTTTCCTTCAAACAAACAAAAAAAATATTGCTCGTACAGATCTTTCCAATTTTTTTTTTTTTTTTGGTTTGTGGATTTAAATTAAACTTGACGACGTATATTATTTACGTATTACTTCTCCGATGTATTATATTCTCTGCTTTATGAATATGGCAGAAAAATTATTATTATATATTATTATAAATTATTATTATAGTTTATTGTAAATTAAAGCTTTTTAATTTAAAATTCTCAACGAATGTTCTTTTTATGTTACAGTGTTCTTAAGATTCCATCCAGTGATTTTGAAGACTTGCCTCTTATCCAAGACGTGGTGCCACAATGGGTCGAAAAAAGATTCAGATTTCACGTATCACGGACGAACGAAATCGTCAGGTAATTCTAGACAATGGCTCCTCATTTATATATAGTTTAATGCTAGTTAGTGTTATTTGCAATTCGATATGAACTTTAAAAATCTTTTGCGTTCGATTTTTATAAAGAAATATCAAAAGGATTTCAAATAACGCATATACATATATCAATATATACTAACATTCCAAATAGATCTTTTAATACATTTCTTGCTTTCCTACGTGAAATATATGACAATTTATAAATAACAGATTACTTGAATAAAATGTATATAATTATATTACGTATATTTTCTAGACTTAAAATAAATATACACACATTCGACGGATTTTCACATAATTGTTGATACAATCTTATGTAACGTAACTGATTAGGTAACTAAAACGACAAGGAATCATTTATTATCACGAATGTGAGGTATTCGCCGCATGCAATCTACCTCTTTAATAGTCTTAATAACTTAAGGCTTAAGATCTCGCTGAAGTTCACCTTCGATACGTCCCTCTCTCCTTTATATACGACAGGTGACCTTTAACAAGAGGAAATTCGGCGTGATGAAGAAAGCGTACGAATTGTCGGTACTGTGCGATTGCGAGATTGCGCTGATTATCTTCAGTTCGAGCAACAAGCTGTACCAGTATGCGAGCACCGACATGGACAAGGTTCTCCTCAAGTACACCGAGTACAACGAACCCCACGAGTCCCTCACCAACAAGAATATCATCGAGGTGAGTCCATTTATCCGTTATGGATTCTCAGGATGAAATGAGAATGCGCGCCAACATGAGTCAAATCCTCGCCAAAAAACATCCATCGCTAATTTTTCGCATCAAAAGTCTTTCCGTTAAAATCCCGATTAAGGAAATATATATCTTACTCTTATGGTTCCAAATATACCAAGGTCATAGATATACAGCGATATCGAATATACAAGGTGTATTAAGAATTTGAATAAAACTAGAATTGAAAAGATTGTCAATTCTATCAAAATGTATTAACATATACATATATATATTTGGATTATAGACTCTTATGTGTGCAAATTTTTTAAAGAGTTCTCTCGAGAAATCTAATTTAAATTTCAAAAATATAGGAGTATAAATAGACAATTTTAAACATATTTATGAATGATTCATATACTTATATAATTTGATTTAAGATTTATAATTTATTCTATTGGATATAAAAATATTTTTTTAAATCGACAATCGAAAGAAAATGTAAAATACACAATATTCCTAAAAAATATCATATTAAATAGTATGCTTTATGGCAGGTTTATTCATGCATACAAATTAATTCGCTATTTTACGTAGTTAAAATAATGTTAAATAACCAAACAGTTTTCTTAAAACGAATTTCTTTGCATATATATTTTTTTAATTTAATCTCCGATTTTTTACACGTAAATAGATCTTGTAAGGAATTACCGACGTTTTAAATAGTCATGCATCTTGCGCGTATTACATTTGTTGAATACAGTCTCGTTTTGATGGGGGAGCGAGATGCGATCTCGTTTTTTTTTTCCTTCTTTCATGCACGAACATAATTGCGTTGGGTAAACCGGGTATAGAGTAAGAAGCGCACGCGCACACATACACGCGTGCTTGGTGTTAAATTAATGTGCATGTGAAGGTTGAGTGCCCTCGGGCGGTGTGGTCACGTGAACCTGTCTGCTGACACTTGCAGGCGCTCAACAAGAAGGAGCATAAGGGTGCCATGTCTCCGGAGAGCCCGGAACCTGACGCAATCGAATACAATCTTACCCCGCGCACCGAGGCCAAATACACGAAGATCGACGAAGAATTTCAGATGATGATGCAGAGGCACCAACACAATGGCAGCAGGGTAAATATCAAGTTTCAAATGTCAGTCGGCAAATTTATATCTATGCAAAAGTTATTCTTTCTCTCTCTTTTTTATTATATATTTACTATATAAAACTCACGATGCGTATGTTAACGAACGACCTATATGTGTTCAATATTTTCATATTTTTACAAAAGAAGGATATAAATAGTACTTGGATCTTTTTATATAACGATTTTCAAGCCGCGTCAAGTGTCTCAAAATGTCGCATCAAAAATATTTAAAAATATATTATTTATGTGTGATTCTATGCATTTATATTAAGATTATCCAAACAAATTAATACCTTAAATTCGTCTTTGTCAAAATGACTAACATGTGAATATATCATTTATTTAAAATCTTATTATGGCCTGTCATATAAAAGACACAGATCGATTTTTCTAAATACGATTTGCACTTATTTTTGTACTCATTTTTCTAGAGAAAAATAAGACATATGATTTAAGAGAAAGTATCTTTTTCCAACTCATCATGAAAAGTTTGTGTGTGTATGTGTGTGTGCAGTAGACATTAAAGTAATTATTAAACACTTTATTATTTTAAAGTATACACAGTAATGTGTATTAAAAAGTTTAAAAACATATTATATATATTAATATATTAAATATAAAAATTGTTTTTATTTATTATTATGTAATATTATTTAATTGCTTGGCTTATACAATTGTCTTTATATAATATTTTTATTTTATAACACTGTACATGAGAAGAATTAGATATGAGTTTGTGTGTGTGTGTGTGTGTGTGCGCGCGCGCGCGCGCGCGCGCCCAGTAGTGCTTGTATCTATCTTTGCTGCAGGTATTATTAATTTGTATTGTGTCGGTTGTGATTGCAGACAATTGGACAATCGAGTTACACGCTACCAGTATCTGTACCAGTGAACAATTACGGCGAATCTCTCCTTGGATCTAGTCCACAGATGGCACATACCAGCATCTCTCCACGTCCGTCATCGTCCGAGACAGATTCAGGTAACTTTACTTAGAGACAGAAAGCCGAAAGGGAGCAAATTTCTGACGTTTTCGTGTCAAATTCGCGTCTAACGTGTTCAATTCTTCGCTATATAGTGTATCCTCCGGGAGGAATACTGGAGATGAGCAACGGCTATCCTCCGTCAGCGTCACCATTGGGTAATTCGCCTAGTCCAGGACATTCGCCTGCGCTTGGGGTCGGTGGAGGTAGCGGAAATAAAGGCAGCAATCAGTCTAGGCATTCGCCGCAGCCCCCGCCACCGCCACCACCGCCCCATCCTCACAGGGCTAACCTTCGAGTGGTTATACCGACACCGCTCACACAACCTCTCTCTGAAGACACTAATTACGATGTAATTGTCTTACTATTATTGGCTTTAAACGAGTGTTAAATAAATAATGATTGCTTGATCGTAATATGAATTTTTCAGAAGTCAAATTGATCGACTCTACTTTTTGAAAATTTCTTAATTTTGCATATACGATTAGCGTTCTAGTACTAAAATTAAGAGATTTTCAAACAGCAAAAGTAATCTGTTTGATTTTTAAGAAGTTCATATTTCACTCTTTGTTTCATAATCACTCAATTTTTTTGCATTTATAAGTTAAAAAGGTGTTTGTCCAGTTTAAAATAGCATTAAGTTGAGAATTAGATTTTAAAAGAAATGCAATTAAAGAAATAAGTTCTTATTTTTATTTCTTATCAATGATGTTTTTAAAATAAGAAAAAGTATGTGTATTAGCTAAATTTTTAAGTTTACGATAAATTGCGCATTTATTTACTTTCAGAATGCCCATACGCAGTCTGCATTGAACACACCGGTAGTAGCGTTACAAACACCAACAGTACCACCCGGATACTCTAGTTTTGGACCAACAGATTACTCCTCGGATCTCGGGAGCCTTGCAACCTGGTCTCATCAGAGGTACGTTGATGACTTATCAATGTATTCGGCAGCCACCATGTCCAGCATCAGGTAAATCATATTTCATAATTATTGTTGTGAAAGAAAGCTATATATCCAATTGGTATAACATGCTTTTAATATTATTATATAGTTATTTTCTTCATACTAGTTGATACATGATGTTGATTTTAAAGATTAAGCATACACAATATGTATATAAAATATTACGTATATTTAAATATAGATTATATATTACAACAAATAGATTCAACAAATTCAGATTCAGCATTAGCTTTTCTCATTATTATTTTCATAATTCTTATATATATTATATAATCTGTTTTTTTCTCCTCTTTGTTTATCTATTTTTAATTCACATGTGTATATATTACTTAATACGAAATAATATTCATGCACTTTATTCTATCTATTACAAATAGAGAATAATAAAATATTTTGACCACTGGAGCGCTATAGTTTTTTTTCGGTTGCAATAGTGTTTAGCATGTCATATATCACATTGTGAGTGTTGGGTATATTCATTTTCATTTATAAATATTTATGTTGTTTGCTTAATTAAGTTACAAACTATTATGTCGCAATGCATACATCTTATCAAAAGTACATTTTCATGATTTGCATCATGATTTGAGTAACTTTTATTTGCACTTTATCAACAATGTCACAAGTAGATGCAGTATTAGAAGACAAAATCGAAAATAATTACAGCTTCTTGCTCGATTAGATTATTATATTACAAGAACATTCACATACAACACTTTCCTTTTCAATTTCTAACCATTTATGTATGTATCTTCTTTTCTTAGCATTACAAAATTTTTTCGACATTACAGTGGTCTTCCTCATCTAGCCGTATCAAGCAGTACACCACCACCATCCACATCGCCTTTACCCGTAAAAATAAAAAGTGAACCGATAAGTCCACCCAGAGATCCGCACGGAGGTAATAGCGGATCCAATGGCGGACCTAGCAATGCCAGCAGTCTACATCATACGAGCTTGAACATCGGTCCTTCGTCCAGTACCGGTCCACCGCCGCATCACGTATCTCATCCGGGAGGCCCTCAGACACTGAACCTAGTATCAAGCAGACCGAGTAGTAATCCACCTCCGTCCCATTCGGGTAGCATAACGCCGACAAATCTACCGTCCCCGGGTAGTGGTACGGTTGGTGACATTAGAACGAACCATTCTAGCGGTGGCGGCGGAAACGGAGGAAATAGTTCAGACTACGAGAACGGACCGCTCATGAAACGCTCGAGAATCACGGAGGGTTGGGCGACTTAATGTCGATCGAATTGTTGCACTCATCAGTTGTTTGATACCTCTTCGACGTATAACAGCATATATAGTGCTTGTGAGTTCCAGTATAATTAAAAACAAACTCCTTTTAAAACGTCTTTGAGACACGTGTACTATCGCGATAACGATAGCTGTGGGGTTGGTATGTTTCCCCGCCGTAGCTAGCGCGGAGTGGAAAAATCTGTTTATATTTTGAAGCCGACACACACAAAATATACATTTATTTGAAGAAAAAAAAAAAAAAGAAAATACGGTGCCATAATGTTGAAACTTTATATATATTATATATATGATAGATACATATATATATATTTTCATGTATATAATATGAAGTGTTGTTTGTATATATGTCATAAAATCCGTAATAACTTTCGCGATATGGCATTGTGTCCAACGATGCTTGTGTCGTATGAAAATCTATGCGAAGGAAAACAGTATATTTTAGGAAATAATACAGTACCCAATTGTGAAATTTCTGAAAGTGTAATTCTGAGAGAGTCTAAAAGAGCTTGTGAAGAAATCTACACGTAGTGTAAGATTTATAAAGACCAGAAAACTTTTACCATTGCAATTCGTTGTTGTTTTTTACGGTATAGTAGTCAGAATATATGCCATAATCCGTTAATATATGATCTCGCAAAGATATTTATGCAATAATCATTTATCTTTGAGAATAATTAGTTTGTCTTTGACGAAGATATGCTTAATACAGCAAACTCTCTCTTCCTTTTTTTTATTTGACCATAGAACTTATATCGATAAATAATTTCATATTTTATTTCATATTTGAATCTTTATTTTCTGGACTAATCGATTAATTAATTTTACTGCTGATGTGAACTTATTAACGGTCTATGGCTAACTTCCCAAACATGCGGAAATCGGCTGCTGTACTCAAATTATTCATGATATTCTATAGAACAAGATTCGAAATTAATATATATTGAGTTATGAAGTAATATGAGATAGATAGATAGGCATATTATATATAGTGTTGATTAATAAAAAAAAAAGATATACACAGCGCGCGTACAGATATATACATACATATATATACATACATATATATATGTGTGTGTGTGTATAGAATTTTTAAAATTATTGATCTGTAGAATATTATAAAACAATTTATTTAATAAAGAAGAAAAGTTAATTAATACATAGAATATTTATATATATATATATACACGTTATATACATTTTCCACAAGTATTTTGCACATTTGTATAAAGAAAAATTGTGGAGGAAGAAAGCTTGTAAGAACTTTGCAACCCTTGAAGCCTAAAAATGTGTAAACGAGAATTTATATGCCACAGGTATATGCCATGTACTAAAAATGTGATTAAACAAAACTTACTGTAAGAAGGATTGAGTGATACTAATATTAATAACTTTAATCGTAAATTTTTAAAGAAACCGAAATTACATCTACAAAAATACTGCTTTTTGTATATTTGATCAGTTTTATGTATAACCTGTAGTTTCTTAAATATAAACAATTAAAGTTTTTCAGAAAAAATTAACCATGCATAGAATATGGAACGATTTATTTAAGAAAATAGAAATTTTTTATTGCACACAAATTTGTTCTGTGATATACAAGAATTTATTATAGAAGAGATTATTCTTTTCGATATTATAAAAACTCGACAGCTTTTCGGCTAATACAACTGTATTAAATGTACACTTAAAAAATATTTGGCAAAACAGGGTTGCAATTGTGTAATGACATAGAATTACCTTCTTCCTAAAATCAGTGAAATGAAAATGTGTCAAGATGGTTTCAATGTATGTTTTACAATCTCAGGATGTATCCTGGTGAGAATTGCTCTCTCTTTCTCGAGAGTTGTGTTTGATAAATTATTGTAATTAACATACTAATGGAATACGCAGGTATATGAATGAATAGTGCCTGGCACCATTTGTGGCCCTCCTGTTAGGATGCTTTCCCAAATCATATATGCAGTATAATTTGTTAATAAAGTCTTGAAAATAATAAGCTCTACTTAAGTGCGATATATATATATAATATGAGAAAATGATATATGATGTTGTAAGCTTTATAATGTGACTTTTTGACAAATAGCGTGGGAAGGCAACCTCTATATTGTAATCGAAGGTTGTACAGTGATATACATATAACCCTCGAGATATATTCATTTTGTTTATTAACGCATATTAGAAATGTTTCATATGACTGTACGAACAATCGGTATGCGAAAAATGTAATGCGTATAGTCACTAATTTTAATCACGAATTTTTAAAATGATCACAAAGTGCAATCTCTTAGCCAACACACTTTTTTATCAAATAAAAATATAAAGAAATTGTTATTTTTCATAACAAAGAAGTGAAATTTAATGTATTAAAGATATATATATATATATATATACATATATATTAATGTCTCCACTAGTTACTAAACTTTTCCTATTGACACAAAATTTATTATATTTAATTGATATTTAATTGTAATATATTCTATTCATATATATTACAAAAAAGATAATCATATATAGTTAATTCGCATCAAATGCTTGCAAATAAATTTATATTTTGAAATTTGATATTACATTTAAATGATATGCATTTGATTGATACATTAAATGGGAACACAATTAAAGGCCATTTCTTAACATTTTATCAGGAATATTATATTGTCTATATTGTGGCGTTTTCTTTTAACTTTGGATATAAAGATAAAAAAATCGTTAAAATTTCAGTTTTGTATCGGCATATCGCATTTAATATTAAAATACCTCTGTATTTATCTCACACAGAGTGTAATTCAAATTAGCTTGACGGAACGCTACACAAGAATCCAGAACTTATTAATCCTTTCTCTGAAATGCCCTATTGTGATATTGAAACTGACATGATCTTTCTGCATAATAGTCCATCTAACAATAAGATCATTTGGGTGTTCCAATGTCAACACTTGTATAACAATCGCAGTGTGATGTGAAAAGTATGAACAGTACTTTATATGCAAGGTTTATATATGTGCTATCTGATCTATTTTACCATAACATACAGTAATAAGATGATGCATAGCGAAACCCGTAAGAATAGACAATTTGTTAAATGTACGTTAAGTACATGTGTACGTACACTTCAATGTATATTTTTAATATGGAATACATGTAAGTTATATATATCTGTGAGAAAAAAATACGTTGATGTAATTAAAGATGTATTCGTCTTGATTGGCACAACTAATGACGAAAGATAAATTGTTATCAGCATTGCAGAATAGAATGAAGATAAAAGCCCTGTGATTATATTTGATCTACAAGTATTTGGGGACTATTTTAAAGTCATTTGGAACATATAATGAAAGAAAAATTTATTAGTCATTCTAAAAGAATCTTATATCCCAGTGATTCAAGAAGTTGTATTAGAAAAATTTCTAAGTAAGTTTCTCTCTCTTCACTTAGTTTATTTGGAGGAGGGGGGGGGGATAATTCAAAGCATTGTTTATTTATGAAATTGTGCTAATTTGTGTGATATGTATTATCTACAAAAAATTATGATTGTTTACATTGTATATTCTAAATACTCTTTAGTTACATACTGTGAATTATGATCGTATAGTTGTGCCTCAAGATTTCGACGGATATTCAATACGTAAAAAAAAATAATGATAATTATTGTAGTTAAAAACTCAGAGACTATTGAAATTGTTGGAACGCTGTGAACGAAATGGACCATCGTTAGAGGAGCCATACGCGTAAGATAAACGAGATCTACGGATGATTAGACGTTTTATATTGCAACGTAAGCTAAGATTGTTTTGGAGCAAGGCCATTATAGGCTTTAGGCAAATGTTCGCAAATAATCGAATTGCAATGCACACGGCACAAGTACCAGAGATCACTGTAACAATGTAGCAAAATAAAATATAAAATGTATATGTACTAGCCACAACTGTTGTCACCACAAATAAATAAATATATATATATATAAATAAATATATATATACAATTAAGAGTTTAATACAGGTTTAAGTACTGGACATATCTGTAAAGCCAAGTAGCATCACATTTTTAAACGTCATAACAATAACGTCATTTTACTGTTACTATCTGTATTTGTGCATTTTGAAACTATACACGAAAACGGTATAGCCTGTTTGATACGTACACAATCACACCAAAAGTTATAGGATCTTTTACATATATATTTTTTAACATATTGTTATCATATTGATCTTTTTTTTCACTTAGTTTTGAAATGCACTCTGTAAACAGATAAAGTATGTGTGACCAGGAAAAAGGAAGGGAGAGGGGAGACATACTTTAAACATTATATGTAGCATATACACACGTATTTGTATAATACAGTTTAAAAGAGAGAGGTTGTGTTTAACAATTCCTCAAATTGCGTATCGTACTATTGCGATTAATTTCAAGACGCAGTTACGCATTGTACAATATATAAATTTTAACCGAAACTGTATGTATATTTAAGCATACATAAACAAACACATTTACACGCATACACAAAACAGATTTGCATCGTGCATACACCGAATGTATGCATATGTGGATATATATGTATAAAAACTATTATATAATATTATGTAATAGAGAATAATGACATATACACACAATATTATAGTCGTGCGTTATGTTAGCTGATAATTGCGAGAATAAAGGAAAGTAATTCATATAGTGCCATCGTAACTGATTAATTAAGGGAATACCGATTTTACGTTTTAAGTAGAGAGTATGTCGTATACTAGAGAATATTTGAAGAAAAGAAATACAAAACGTTACAAGACAAAGACTCGGTTTATGTTCGTAATAATAATAATTAATGATGTTTGCCAAGTTTGTTACATAAGTACGAAGCCATTGAGAGATATTTTATGTACTAAAATCTTTTCAAGACATACTTTATCTCCTTCTATGCACATTCAATGCCGGACACAATAGTACTTGAGTGTGCGTTAAACACTCGCGCAAGGAGGCGGAATTTAAAAATCTCCTCGTTTGTACGTTATATACCCTTGGTGCTCGACATTTTACCTAGTTATTGTTATACGTTTATTATTATTGAATCTGTATGACCATGCTACCATATCGCCTATTATTGTGGTCAGTATAATCATCATCGTCTCAGAGTTAGCGATAAATAATGATTATTTGATAACGCTCTGTGTACATCACACAACATACATACAACATTGTAAAACACACACATTGTGGTTATATTTCAGTGTATCAGCATAATGAATATGATTATTACGATGTTGCCCATAGAATATACATTTTACTTGGTTTTTACATTTGGCAGTATTTTATTTTAGTATTATTCCACATATATGTCCACCTGTGTAATTTTTTCAACGCTCGATTCTTGTAATTTGTGTACGTGTAGAGGGTATGAATTCATTTTGTATATTATTATTATTATTTGTACTTGAACAAAGAGAGAAATCATTCAAATTGTTTCTTGTAAAATCGTAATTGTTCGCATGCAACCGTTGTGGATTTATTTCGCGATTATTTGTATCATCGAAAATTTGTGCGATATTTTTCTAATTTGACATATGTAACATTATACGCTTACTCGATTGATTAGTTTCTTATCATAGAAATATTGCTTGTTAATACGTAATACTAAATATCATTTAAATAATTTTTTTCTTAGCTGTATAGCATTGTTAACATATGAGAATAACGCTATATTTTATATTAATTATATTGAGTTTTCTTTAAAATCTCTCTTTTATGATATATATGATTTAATGTTTATCAAAATAACTCTCTCTTCATTAAAAACTATAGCAGGCAACTATCTCTATAAATAGTAATCGAAATATATCTAATCTCATATTTATACAGCAAAAATATAATGATTAGGAATAATTATAAAGTCAATAGTCAATATTACTTGATGATGATGATTAATAATATAACATGCCTTATCAGATATTTTTTCATACTGACATTTTAATTTGTTAAAGAAACGTATAATCCGATAATAGACTTTAAAAAAATAAATTTTTTATCTACTTATTTTCTTTACTTTCATGTTCAATTATTATTTATTGATTGATATAATTTCATATACTATTCTAATCTTTATTTATAATAATATATATTGTGCAATATGTTTTCCTCGAGAAAAGATGTGTAATAATATATTTTTAATATACATTTTTCTTGCGTGAAAGTTTGTGTAAGCTACGATATTTTTGTAACATTGAGAACTCTATGATAATTTGGTTCTAGTGAAAGTCTGTATTTTAAAAAGAAACAATGATAAGACAGAATTTTAAAATGCTTAACACGTAATATTTTTTTTTATCGATAATTACATCTTAAGAAATATCTCGCTTGACGCGGGATTGCAAATTTTTTGCGAGTGACTTTGATATATGTATGTGATTACGTATTTTACGTTAAATACTTCAAGAGACGGTAATGATAAGCCACATGTTTCGAAATTTTGAATCTACGTATCTGTAAAAATATGCGTTCACAATGATGGGAAAAATTGCAGAAATTATATATTGTTGGTTTTTCAAATGTGTGCAATGTATACAAGTAGAGCTGCCATTGCATTAACGCTTTTTTAATTGTCATCTAATCACATAGCTCGGAAAATTCTATTTCACGTTATAGAAAAATTATATATATATATAATTTTTTTTATCTATTAAATACCTATATCAGTGAGTTATATCGCGCGTTATATATACAAATATCATGTAACAGATATCGCTCTAACGAGGAGACAAATCAAGCATAGAGATTCTTTTTCTTCCGTTTTACTCATTAATCGATCTATGTTAATGATTTCCGCATAATGTACATAATGTGTCTTTCAATCTTTGACTCATTCTTTCTTCTCTGGACAGTAAAATGAACAGTTAGCTACGTGTTCTAAACTTTAGGAATCTCGACCACGTCTGTGCACACACACACACACACACACACCACACACACATACACACAAACATACATACACTTTAAGATAAAAATCGGTATGTTATTCAGTGTAGCACAACTGACTTGCACTGAATACCAATCTTCATTGTGACGTCCACTAATGTAATTTGCAACGATTGTAAACACGTAAGATAGACGAAGGAGAATAATTTCTTCGATGAGGATCGAAGGCAAACTGCGAATAGACATATCTTATTGATATCCTAAAGAATATATATATCGTCGGTACTTAAATACATGTATAGAATGTATTTTAGAAAAACATTCGCGCGTTTGTGAAAAGATTTTTTACACTTGTATTGAGGAAAAAACATTTATAGTTATTTGAACTAAGGGAGTAATTATTATATTTTTGCAAGTAATAATCTTAGATAATCCTGAAGCGACATAGACAAAAAATGTCTCAAAGATTTAATCTAAAGATATCTTTAAATGTTGTATTGTTTAAATGCTGGATTGTTTTTGTTTTTATTGTAGTTAGTACTATGATGTACAAAAGGATAACAATTCACTAGTTCAACTTTAACACAGCTTATTGATTTGAATTCTATTTAACTGATGTAAAGCAATCTCTATATGTTGGGGAGGCATAGAATCTCTTGTTAAAAATATCTTTGTGTAGTATTATATAGATTAAGTTAAAAAAAATTTCCTAAGCAATTATTCGCAGGGAGAAAATAGGAGAGAGAATTCTATTTCCATAAAAATCAAGGAATATAACTATATTATTTGACTATATCGTAAATTCTGTAGAAATAGCGTAGACATAATATTTCTTTTTTTTTTAACTTTTTGGAATGCTCTATCTTACGTGCGTACGACCGTGTCTATCCTCTGTAGAAATGCCTTATTATCACGTGCCTCAATTAATATTTAAACTGTTCACCTGCTTATACCTACTACTCGTTAGTCTATGTAACGAATATATATATATGTGTAATATCAAGTTATTCTTTGTACTGCTCTTGTAAATATATTCTGGAGAATTAATGTCATCCTGTCGTCTATATATACTCTGTATACTATATTCTATATTTACGTTTTTGTTATGACCGCTTTCTCTCTATTCACCAAATCGCCTCACAGATATTTCACTTTCCTGTGTCTGTCTGAAAAATCACCCTGCAAAAAAAAATTAAATTGAAAAAATTCTTTTTTTTTTTCTAGATTTATATGTGTACATAAATTTTACGTTTAGAAAAAATATTTAATTTCCGATATTAGAAGCTATTCATAAATTGTTAAGTATATTTATATCATCCTCTCTATTTTTTTTTCTATTCTTATCTACATATAATTTTCGATTACATATGTATAATAGAAAAGGAAAAAGCATATAATTGATAATTATATAAAAGATTAATAACTTTCATGAAAATACAAATGTTGAGTTAATTACAAAATGTTTAAATTTGATTTTAATGTCAAATCTGTAACACCCGATTTCGAGAATTAGAAATTTATTTTAATCAAGCTGTTTAGTAATTTTTTTTAAATTCATTTCTCTCTTTATAAGATCGCCACATTCTCAGTTTCTCTGCAAATAAAATTATCTCGTGTTCTCGTTACCGCATGTTTATACGTAATCCAATTCCATTTTCCTCGCTTTTTCACGCTGTTTTCTTTTTCTTCCCACGTGTAATTATATTTATTTCACTCTGTACATCCATCTCCGATTGTACACAAAAACCGCTCAATATATATAATAGTATATAATTGTATAATCTTTCCATTCCAGCATTATCATCTCGTCACGAGCGTTATTAAAATTTAATATATACGATGCTGAAACCGGAAGATGATTAATCGTGGATTTTTTTTGAACGATGAGAAAAAGATAAAATAAACGCGAAGTCACACGTTATTATGTGTAGTTAATTTTATATAAACATGAGATACAAGAAGTAATTTGAAAAAAGTGTTATACAAGGAATAAGAATTAATGCTTACTTTGCACTACTGCGAAAAGTCTTTCTTCTTATTTAAAATTTAAACTTTTCTTAATTTCTCCCCCTGACGATTAATTTACAACTGCCATTTTAATTTATATTTATATTTATATCATTGAAAGTTGCATGTGCTTCATTTCAAGTACAAAAGATGGCTATGCCATCGTCGTCCTGTACCCGTATATAACCTAATATTTGTGTTTTTTTGCCAAATAATGTAATATAAGTACAATATATATGTGTTTAATCGTACATAAATTTATGTATAATATTGTGATTTTTTTGTAATAATATAAGAGAAATAAATTTTATCGCGTTCAACGAAAAATGCCACCAAAACCTTCAATGGTAATTTAGACCCATATCAGTCTACTATTTTAATTGAAAAGATATGTTTGTTATTGAAGTAAGTTGAAATCGCAATAATGGCAACATTAAACGTTAATATAAAATTTATTTCAGAATTATAAGCGCAGCAGCAAAAATAAGAAGAGTGTGGCACAAACATGTATTCCTCCTAAAGCAGTAGATGCAAACAGCGCAAGTGGTTTGAACCCAGACGTGGAGGATAAATTTGAATTGGAATTATGTTGGTGTATACAACAGTTAGAAGCGAGTTTAACTAGCGGCAAATTACAGGAGAAGCAGGCACAGGATCTCAACAAACAGTTAAATTCATTAAAGAGTAACACTGCGTCATTAATAAAAAAGAGACAAATAATGAGAAATGCATTAGGAGACTATAGAGAGAAGATGGCTGAGGACGAACGAAAGCTTAGTAGAGCTGTGTCAGCTGTCAAGTTCACGAATCCTGCCTCGACAAATAAAAAATCAATGTTTGTCAGGAAAGCTATTCAACATGATGTACAGGAATTCAAAGAGCAAGCAAATGATCATACGCAAGATACAAAGCAAGCTATCATTGACAGTAATAGAACTCAAATTCCATTTCAATTTAATTTTCAGACATGTCAATAAAATCAACTTTTATATTAATATAATGTATCAGACTACTTTTGTACAATGTGCTATCATAATCCATGTTTCATGCATAAACATTTCTTTGCCAATTTAAATACACATATATATATATATATATATATATATTGCAGAATATGCTCTCAGATTCATGAAGTTTAGTTAGCATATTATAAGAGAGAAAAGTTTTATATGTATATATATATGGAATAATTTTTAATGTGATAATGGAGAACATTTTTGAGAGAAATTTTATTAATTCAAAATTTTAATATAGCTATAAAAACTGTATGTCATAATTATGAAATAATATATGGACTTTTAAAATACTGTTTTCAAGTCATTTTGTGAAAGTAGGTCCTGTGGCGCAACGGATAACGCGTCTGACTACGGATCAGAAGATTCCAGGTTCGAATCCTGGCAGGATCGAAATTTTTTTTTAATTTTATCTTATCTTTCTTTATTTAAATATACTTTCTTTTCCTGTTTGTACAAAAGAAATAGAATCATATATATATATAAGATATCTTATCTAAAGATTAAATCGAGACGAATTTATAACTGTCACAACAATAATTTTGTTTAATATTTTTAGCACATATGATTAAAAAAGACACATTTTTTCAGTCATTAATTTTATTTGCTATTTTTGCAATATATATATATCTTCCTTTTCTTTATAATTTTTTTTCGAACCCTGTTGAATTTAAAAATATATTGATACATATATGTATATAGAAGTTTTGCCATTTAAATATTAGATTAAAGTGCAGTTCACCACGTCGTTAAAGGCGCAGATTGGTGCTTCGCATAATATCCAGCCAATCACATTTCGGAAACATGAGCTCACGTGACTTTGGCAAGAGCAATTGTTCGTGTATTGCGATTATATATGATCTCTTACATATATATGCTCTTTTTCCCCTTCCTGAGAAAATGAATCACATATATCGTTATTATAGTCTATAAAGAAGATATTTTATACATGTTTTTCCCGATGACTCAGTCTGGTATTACGCAAGAATAATAGATTCAGGCTTGACTTTTTTAAGGGTAGGTCGGTATTCTATAGCACACGTGTAATCCGCGGCCCGTCGTAATTAGGGAAAATGGCTGGCGATTCGTCGAAACATGTTTTGACAATTGTAATTGATTAAGTCCCGATGTTCCACGAAGAATTACGTCACGGTAGGAAGCAATTTCTACAAGATCGTTCGACCGAGTGTCGTCGCGATGTTAAAATCCGGCCGTGCGTTTGCGTCTCGCGAATCATCGTCCGCTTATCTCGTCGTGCGTAACTTGTTCGAACGTGTTTCTCGTTTCTCGCCACTACCATCAGGAAATATACCATTCTTCCGAGAAGAAGCTGGTATCAATCTCTTTTTCTTTCTAATATTGTTTTTCCCCCTGGGTCTTGTGCAAGTCGCATTGCTATTAAGTGAGCAATATGTATAATTCATGTGTTATTCGCGCGGGGCCACCGAGGTTTCGCGTTGATCTGTCATTTTCTCATCTCGAGAATTGTCATGCATGTGAAACAATATTTGTATTCAACGTGACATGGGAGAATATACCAACATCCGTTATTTGTAAATTTATCTCGATATTGAAAAACGTGCTTTATTCGTATTTAGACTAATATAAATATCCATTACATGATACTTTGTGTATACAATATTATACAGTCATATAAGCATATATTTCTGAATAGAAACATTACACAATGCTTTGTTCTTGTATGTAGGTGAAAATGCGATATACCTGCTGCATTCTCTGACGTAACATCCCCTGAATGGCTAGGTGGATGTAGAATCTGAAAAGTTACCATCGCCATCACGCTGAGTAAAGAGAGATTGCACCATGTGTCTTCTGTAGTTTCTACAATCATGGTTTAGACAAAGGGTCATTAAGGCGATAAAATGCCTGTCAGTTTAGTTAATAATGGGACAGCATTTTGCTAGTCTCAGAGAGTTCTTTAGAATGGATGGTGAAAGACAACCTGCTGAGATATGCGCTAGCGCGCTCAGCCAACCATTGCCCCTGGAAATGGTGAATCGAGATGTCACCGAGAGTCTGTCCGAAAACGAGACCAATGGCAATGTACCTGTAATGAACTCTAATATACTGCCGAACAGACTAGAATGTAAACTAGAAGGAAATTTGGACAACGATTGTTTAAACTTAGATGTAGACAACCATAATTCTAAATTCGAATCTTTGTATAGTCAACCTGTTGAAGCTCAGGATACAAAGCAAGTTTGTAATAATGGCAATGTTACTAGTGAAGCATCGTTTAGACAGCAGCAGGAAGCATGCTGCAGTAGTTCCAGTGGTAGTAACAGTAGTAGCAGTTCCGAAGATAGTCCTATAAATCCACCGTTGAGAAGATCGTCTAAAACTTTATCATTCGGAAAGAGAAAAAGTACATATATTAAATCGATTTTTTTTCATATATACACTAATTCTATCACTTGTTGACATTAATTAAGGTATGTTTGTTCATATTAGATAAGCAGCGTAACAAGGATCAAAGTCCAGTGTGCAATCATGTCTTATCATCGAAGAAGAAGCGTAGCAACTGGGTGTTGAAATTTAATTGCGCCAAGAGCAAAAGCTCCAAAAACACGGACATTATTCCTGGTCAAGGGAATAGTAATTCAGATTGCGTATGTACCGGTTACAGGAGGACCGAGGAGCACCCTATGGGTGCGGGCACCGTGTTTAATAGTCGATCCGCTCCGCAAAGTCCCGTTCTCGGGCCTCTGCCACCTAGCCCCGTAATTGATTTATCGCGATTTAATCCCGAAGAATTTCCTATGGAAGTATGTTTTTGTTTGTTTTTTTTTTTTTTTTTTTTTTTTTTTTTTTTTTTGTTTTTTATTTTGACAACTTTTAAGAGAACTTTGACATTAAAGACAACTTAGGTCAATCAATGTTCTTTATTTTTAAAGGATTGTGACGAACGCGCGCGAATGCAACGCGCTCGAGAGATGGAGGAGGGTGTCGAACCTCCTCCTGGTTATAAGCCTAATTATCCTACGGGAATACAAGTTCATCCTAATGGAATAACGGTGGACAGTTTGGCGGCATTGTTCCAAGCACATGCCGGTATTCAAGCTGCCGCTCTCACAGCTTTATCGCAGATCGACTTTACATTAATTCCAAATATCGAAAGACCCGCTCATACGCAGGTAATGGTTTTATGCAATTGATTACGTAATTTATAGATTTCTTTGATTCATATTCAAAGTAATTCATAAATGTTTATTATGTCAGGTCGATTATGTCCACTGTCTCGTACCGGACTTAAGGTCGATTACAGCTTGTTCTTTTTATTGGGGTAAAATGGATCGTTACGAGGCGGAACGCTTATTGGAGGGCAAGCAAGAGGGTACCTTTCTGTTACGAGACTCGGCGCAGGAGGAATTTTTGTTTTCCGTGAGCTTTCGCAAGTACGGACGTTCGTTGCACGCTCGCATCGAGCAATGGAATCATAAATTTAGCTTCGATTCGCACGATCCAGGAGTTTACGCTTCCGAAACAGTACGTATATATACATATATTTATGTTCCTAAAATTTATTCTCATAGATAAATGTGGAAGAATTACAATTCGTCGATTATACACCGTTTATGTAAACTCCTTACAGGTATGTGGTTTAATCGAACATTATAAGGACCCTTCGTGTTGTATGTTTTTCGAGCCTATGCTCACTATACCGTTGCATCGAAATTTCGCGTTTCCGCTGCAGCATCTGTGTAGAGCGGTGATAACCACGCGGACGACGTACGATGGCATAAACAAATTGCAATTGCCAAAGACACTCAAGAGCTATCTCAAGGAGTATCACTATAAGCAAAGAGTGCGAGTCAGGCGGTTAGACACGGAAAACGATCTACAGACAGACTGCAGATCCATATCATGCTTGCCGATATGAGTCTTCGCGTATTGATATTCGATAAAACTTTATCATATGTTGCGTAATTCTATTTCTTTATCGACATTCTGCGCCGCCGTATCAAATGCGTGCGGTATGCATGCACATGCTTTGTAATATCAGGAATACCATGACTTCGATCCACAGTTATACAAGATATTATTGCAATATTAGCAATAAAAGCATTATATTCATCTTAAAGTGGATATATATTGAGTGAGGAAAGAAACCAACAGCAAATGCGAATGTTTGCTGTTAAAGTTTGAGACACTAACGATTGCGAATCTTTGTCAGCGTTTAATTCGCTTATGAGGTGATGAGCATCAAAGAAATCTCGCGCGCGATATAGATGATAATACAGTCCAATGCAAATGTTTGATATAATACGAAAAGAAGCGATGAACACAAATGCAAAAATTTGCATTTGCTTTATGTTCACTCAATATATACCCACTTTTAAACGATAGTAGCTTCCATGGAGGAAAAACAGCGTAGTTCTAATTTAAAAAAAAAAAAAGGGAAAAATAGTGGGACTTGTGCAAAACTTGTGCGCGACAGGTGCCTATGTTCTTGAAGAAATAATCCCATATGTAAATACATCAAAATGACAATGCTTCGTATACACACGCACAGCATATTACGGAAATTGTTTACCGTTTTATGTAACCTTCAATATCTCAATGCTACTCTTATTATTACTGCTATTTTTATTTCTCTGCTTTATTTTTGACTACGTTATCTTTTAATTGTTATTTTGAATATGTACTCGAGTATGTATACTTGAGTATGTATAATTTAATGTTAATTAAACTTATGCGAACAGTTTGTACATTGATAATTTTTATAGAACGATACCAAAACTTATGCCTTTAAAAGGCATGGCAATTTAGTTTTTTAGAAATTTTATTATAAAAAATTATGATGTCACATCACATTTTTAACCTTTATACGTAACTAAATGTAACTAAAGTTACAAAATCATTGCAAGATCTGGTTCGTATTACTCCTATTGTGCCTATTTATAATGTTAAATATTATTAGATGAACACTGTCTGTGTTGATGTTCATCATTGGCAGATAAAAAAAAAAAAAGTCTAATTTGTGTAAATTCTTTAAATTTTGAAACGTGCGTGCGCGCGCGTGTGGAGGAGATATCAGACGCAATGAATTGAACTTGGAGTAACAATGCAAATCATTAAAATAATAAATTTGCAAAGTATATAATATTATAGTATGAAATTGTTAAAAGTATTGGTTAATGGTTACTCATATAATGAAAACTTCGTATTAATAAAAATTTAATATTTATAATGTGTACACATTTTACTAATGTTTCAATACCTAATACAACGATTATATTGCATTTAAGGAAGAGTCGTGCTTGTGAAAAACATGTTAATATTTTACATAGCTTGTGTATCGTTTCTTTAAATAGGATATCTTGAATTACACATCATAAAAAGAAAAAATTCTATGGGACAAATTTATTAATTTGCCAAAGATAATGATATTGACAAAAATGTGTTTTAATAGATTTATAATCTATACTATATTAACATAATAAATAGAAATAAGGAAGTATTTTTTAATTATAAGTTTGTTGATAACTTATTTCGAAGATTTTGATATATATACATATAATCCTTTATTTTAACAAAATAAATTCTTGCTGTATTTTTATATCTAAATCTCGTTTTAAATTTAATACCACAGTTAATTCTTTCAAGGCTTCTATTTTTAGTATATTCTCACCATTGCAGACTTGCTTCAAAAATATATGGAATGTTGAAAGCAATATATCTTTTATATAGGCGTTGCAGAAAAATATAACATTCAATTAACTTTCTAGCATATATTGTGTGATTGGTAGCAGTATTTTGTAGTTGAAGATGAAGAAGAGAGAGAATAATGCTAGACAAAAAATATCTATTATATCATAGTTAGGAAAAATATTGAAATCTCGAGAGTTAGGTTATAAGCAATATTTTTTATACATTTTACACATTTGATTTTATCACAATTGCAAAATTCATATATTATTCCAATATTTATATATTTTCCTACTCATATCGTAATATAAGAAAGGCTTATTTCATAATGTCATGATATCATATAAATGCAAATGTAAAAGTTATAACAATTGCAAAGGATACTGATAAAATTTCTCTCCCATCCTTCCACCATGTATAATTCGGTGACAAGCATATACCGGAAATACCAATACTTTAAAAAAGATTGTAGGCTTTGTAAAGGATTAATCATTATGATTAACAAGCGATTATTACTTAAAACTTATCAAAAATCAACTTTAGCAGAGGAAAGATTTTAGACACTGGCGAGTGTTTTCTTCGCTACTCTTTTAAAGCGATGTCAACCTTAAAGGCTTGTTTTCATCAATGTACTTAGGAATTTGCGAATGTAAAGAGAAATATAATCAGAGAAAAGGAGAAAATATAAATATATATAAATATATATAAATATACATAAATCGGGATATATAATTCTCTTTCTGTATATTATAGAGAAATGTGTATAAATACGTATACGAAACCTACGCAAGATTCTGGGATATATACTTGTCAAATTCATTCAGCGCTTTCTGCATCTCGGCATATTTCGCGAGATCGCAAGCCTCGCGCAACGAAAGCCACTCGAATGCCTGATGCTCATTCGACATTCCTTTTACTTGATATGTCATCTCGTGCCTCGCGTCCTCGAAGATCCTGAGATCGCTCGACGTGAAGCCAGCCTCTTCCTGGGTTTCGCGCAACGCTGTCTCCATGTCGGATTCACCCGGATCGACGTGACCTAGAGAGACATCAATCAACTGTCAAAATTCAATTAAGCGAGCACGATCGATGCGGGGTAGCCTTTTAATCAGTCCATTTGACAGGTCGTTGAGTGAAGAATGAAGAGTACCGGGATGCACGGCGGATACAGACCTTTAGGCGGTGTCCAGTGATGTTGCCCATATGATGTCTGCATCAAGAGAAACTGGATGGTGTCTTGATATCGGCGGAAAATGACGAGGCCGCAAGCACGTTGTTGCATGATCGACGATTTTCTGTGTTCTAAGAATCTCTATTCTAAATATCTCCTCTATACTTCAAATCAGCTGTTTTTCTCTAAATTAAGATTTACGTTGCACGTCCCATTGTTCACATTTGCCATTTGATTATATATTAGAATAAGAATGAAAAGAACGACAGTCTCATTCTACGCCAGTTGCTGTTAGAATTAAGACTTTTAAAATAAAGAGGTAATCACTTGCGATAAAGCGAAGTTTTTAATACTCAATCTCAGTCAATGATTTGCCGACCTTTAATCACGTGACAATAGATATACGATTACAATAGTTGTGCGGTAAATATAAGACATATATCGTAAACTTTGCGAATTGAATTTTTTTTTTCTAAATATAATCAAGTGCCTCTCCCATATTCATTTCACGATCGCACACATTGTATATTTTTTTAAATATTTTTACGACTGACGCTGATATAATAAAATAAGACATTGATTATCATTTAATATCAAATAAAAAAATTTTCCTCCACCTATATTGTAAAATCATAATTTTAAAAAGAGCAACAGATGATCACTAATCTAAAACAGACTGTTCGATATAGAAAATATGCACGTTTTTTAATAATAATACATAATTGAATAAAAAGAGATTATTTTGATAATCGAGATGTGTGCACAAGTGACTGAAAATATTTTACTTGCTACAAAAATAAATTTAAAACACGTACCACATGTGTATATTCTTCGTCCATTTGTGCGATCTAACGGGTGTTTCTTGAATCTTGCGGTTCTCTTATACACCTTTTTTTTTTTTCAAACAATAGTCTTCAAATGTGTGTTCAAGGGAATGCAGTTTTATTTTATAACATTGATATTGTATCAGCAATATTTATAAGTTATCCAACATAGATATTCATTTTGCCTCTTTTAAATTATCAGCCGCCCTTTGTACTTTCTTTTTTCTACGAATTTATAATTTAAAATAAACTTGGTGAAAGTGAAACTTATGCATATTGAAAACTTTAGCGACTAGATATTTGTCATATAACAAATTCGTCTAATTCTAAGAAGCGTATAATCAGATGCGACGCCGACGGCTTTGCTTTCGAGCGAAATATTTTTCGTATTTATTATACATCGCAATTATATATACACACAAATTGACAGTGTTAAAAAAAGAATAGAATTTATCTCGAATTCTCTGCATGTAGTATCAAATCGGATTGTAGAGATTTCGGCAAAAAAGGAAAGAGAAAAGAAATAATCGACAGTTCGCGTGTCGATAAACGCACGTGTGTTTTGACAGGAATCTCAATCTCGGGGAAACAATGCGTGTTACCATTTTATTATAAACGTTTCGCTACATTTTGGCTAGATACCGATCACCAGAAAACATTTAGCAAAGCTGTATGTATGTACCTATCTACAGAGACTGGACGTGTGTATGTGTATGTATGTATGTATTCATGTATGTGTATATGTGCGTGCAGAGTAGTAGAGGTGCACAGCTGTACGGGCAACTCACATACACACGCACGCGAGAGAAATGTGTATTTCACAGCGCGCTTATTTTACGTACAAAAGAAAGAATGAAAAAAAAAGATCACAAGAAGCTTCTCTCTCCGACGTTACGTAGAGTCGGATTCTAAATGTCGCCCGTGCAGCTCTGCGTTTCTAAACGATTTCTTAATAAATCCTTCCTTCACGTGTGTTAAAATCATAAATGTCCTTAGATTTATATCTCCTTCTCTTTCTCTCTTTCTCTCGATTGTTAATTTATACATTTATTTCGTAAAGCAAGCGAGCGAAGGGTGGGTTTTATGTATAGATTACGGTATATAATTAATTCGTCTATATGCCGGAGGGAGAGGGAGGGAGGAATTTACCATTAATGCTATCTGAAGGGCCTTACGTTAACATTAATAATAATAATAATCACTATTATGATGTGTATGTCTGTGTGTGTGTATCTCTATAGAGTCATTTTGTTACAACAACCGCTTCCGGATTACATGCCTTTTTTTCTTTTTTACAAGATGGTAATGATGTTCAGTATTGTAATACTAATTCTGATTGCTGTAGGAACAAACGAAACTTTCGAGCATTATATCCTCCAGTCTAATTTTCTATAACAGTGATTGGATCTCTCTCTTTCTTTTGGAGGGGTATAAATGTTTGCGTTAAACTTGACTCTCCTTGTGAATCTTGATAATTACTATAATCGCTATTACTCTATATCGTTATATTACATTATCTTGCTTATTGGTTGAAATGGAGTAATCCGACGACACGAAACTGGTATGGTTATACACAAAGAAGGTAAGTCCCGATGCCAGTGCTGCGTTAATTATCGTAGCACGTAGAATTTTTATCAAGATGTTCGGTAACAGACAATTGGCGCCGATACTTAGTTGCTATCAGTCGTTTCACGATTCGCAACACGATGTACCGCGATTGTACATGGTGTCGGTGCGCTGAAGTTAATCCGTATTTCTCAGTGTAGCAAGTGTTAGAAATGTGAAAAATCATTGAGTTTATATAGTATGTAAATAAATTAGTCATTGCCTATTTTTTTTTATAGTGTAACATACTTCATTAATCTTAGGCAAATATAAAAAGTTCGCGATACTCGAGTTCCAAAGTGTATGATCTTGGTGTGTGTGAGGTTCTCTCTCTCTCTCTTTCTTTCTCTCTCTATTACTTTAGTACCTTCGTAATATATATTACATACACCAAGTCTCTCTAGTTCGCTTCTACGGTGTATAGTGTAATTCCTAATTTTATTTCATTCAACTGCAAACATCTTTGCGAATGAAAAGATTTTAAGTGTGTGTAATACAATATAGCCAATTACAATACTTAAATTTAATATTATCGTATTCTTCATGTAGAAATAACAGATCTCGTTATTACTCTGATGTAATTTAGGTTTATATAATTCCAACTCTTTGAAGAATGATGAAGTACTTGCGTGTATTATTCACATGAAATGCGAGTGATAATAACTCGATGGTATTCCTAAATTATGTTAATAACTTCTCTGCTTCTCTACCTTCATATAGTATTGTGTATACTATATATACTTGTCTATGATAGAAATAAAAATATTATTAATAATAATTATTATACGCTTTAATTGGCTAATGTCTATATAGTGCTGTGTATTTTCAAAAACTTATACTCTACAGATAAAAAAAAAGAAGTAAAGTATCATAAAAATGTTCGAAAAAAATAAGCATGCTGCACACACGTTGTGCAACAGAAATTAAAATAGCTCAATTCGTACATATTCGTAAATTGAATTATTTCCGGTTAATGTATATGATAAAATGAAGGTAGATTCTTATCGACACAACGCTACGCGTATCCCTCGTTTTGTCAAATTGTTTACAGGCAAAAACCGCGCTCGTAAAATTTTTCATATATAAAACGTAAGATCGGAGAAAAACAGGAAGTTATGGAAAATTCTCCTGACGTTGTAGATGCACTGCTTCGATCTTTTTCCTTCCGCAAAAACGGAAATAGAACGTGTTATTTTATAATACAAGGAACATTGTTCCCATGAAAGACGTAATCTATGTGAGAGATGCTTCATTAGGCACATTTGATGATCCGATTGGAATCTTCACATTCTAATTCTACTTAAATCTTTCAGCATTTTCACGGTGGAGCAATAGCATGCAATTCCACATTTCAGAAACATACTAATTCGAATGCAGACACAGCTTCAACATCAAGAATAAACACAAGACATATAATACTGTTTAGAAATGAAGCGACAGTTTATGATAGATAGATTGCTCAAGAATCGGGAGGGCAGGTCGACCTGTAAGCATGACACTGATTATTTTCATTCGGATGCACGTTTCCCTGTGTTATCGACAATGAAAATTCGAAATTAATAAACTAATAGATTATTGTGTCTAACGCCAGCTTCTTCGTAAATCAGGTCAGCAGGTCCGTCCGTTTCTCTTATCTTTCATTCTTTTTTTTTTCTCGTTCTCAAAGCGTCACGAGGACCCGACCTAGTTCTTCATTTTGGCACTCGGGAGTATTTTTAAATACGTATTAGCCGTCACGGATCACAGTTTCGAATTTTTATCAACGAACCGTTAACAGCGGTACCTCCAACATAGACGAGGACATCTCTTCTTTCTCTCACTCATTCTTCCTTTTCCTTTTTCTTTCATCTGATGACTCCTCGATCTCGAAGGAGGGCTGGGAGGGGGGGGGGGGCAAAGGAGAATCATTTAAACGAATATTTCTTGGGTATCGGATTCGGAGTCGGAGTCCCAGAAGAAGAAACAAGAGTAAAACTCCTCGGTGACCACCGCCACTTGGTGGCTACGTTCACGAGGTCGTTATGGATTGGCGCGATTGGCGGCTAGGGCGCCCGTAGCCGACAGTCACAGCTTGAGCTCGTTCGCGATCTTGCTGGCGATATTTTTGAAACCGATCGATGTGCCGGAGATACGCTTGAATCGTACCCCATTCAGAGAAAGTCGTGGCAGTTTGCAGACCTCGATCTCCCACTGCACCTGGCTGTCAGTCGCTGCTTCGCCGTGCGCGCACAGCAAAAGGAATCGTTCGCGTTGCTCGTACTGGCATTTGTTAGCGTCCAACACCTGGAATGACAACACAATATAATAATAATAATAGATAATAACGTGTCTATATCTCTATCTCATACAAAAATGATGCACATAAGCTCTTTATCTACATTCGCTACGGATTTTATCTGCCTAAGAGCAATCATCTTTCACTCCGCGTGATATTTATAATATAAATGTGCTTTTCTCTTCTCGATACCTTTCGAATCTCAGACATAATTTCGTTAGGGTCTCGACTACTGGTAGTCTTCATACTCCACGTGAAGCGTAGACTGCGCGGCTTAACTTGTTCGTCGTTAGTGGTAGCTCCGCTGTAACAAAAAGATATCTTAAACCTGTCCAAATTATGTAATTGAAGAACGATTTCAATGATATAATTGTTTATAGGGAGAGGGGGTAAAATGTTCCCTCAAAATAATTTATATGATAAAATTTTCAACTCTTTTATATTTCGCAAATATGTTTCTCTCTATCTCATTTTAAATGACAAATAACAATTATAAATTTGTCCGTACATTTCTTCTAGCAAATTTTATCTATGTATATTATCAGAAATTAATATCAAACTAAAAATTATAAAATGTATATATGTATATATCGATTGATATGAAATGCAAATCTTACAGAATGATATGTTATATATTAAAATAAAAGCTTTAAGCTCGTGGTTGTGTAATAATAAATTTTTCATCCGTTTCACAAGGAGAGACTCTACGATGTGATGCTGTGCTAAAAAGAATTCTTGCAAGCTGTCAATAGAAAATGTTTGATGTGTGTGAAATGGAAATTTATCCAGAATTAAATTGTATAGAATTACATACATGCGTGACATGCAGATCATTTGCCATCGTAAGTTTAATCACAATCTCAGTGCTGCATACATTTTACATTTATGTAGTAAACGAAACATATTTAAAGTGAGTGTTACACAAAATTGTAAATCTTTTGCGTGAATCATTGCAACACCTTGAATATGTATATCTTCACGAGACATTTATTCTTATAAATGATAAAAACTCGTAGAACTCTATACGCGATTGATGAAACACGTTTGTGAATGATAATTAGTTCGAACACAAACTAACAAAGAAACAAAAATTACAATGATTAATCTAACATTTTCCATACAGATGAGAAGATAGTATCTTACATTATTACAATTGAAATAATTTGTCTCTTTTTATAGATCTTTATCTCTAAATCGTGTACGACAAAAGCCAATTGGGATACATAATATAATTTTTATGTACGTGTAACTATTTGAAACGTCAAATTTTTTGAAATGAGCCATTTTAATGAGATATGCATGCTTCAATGTAGAAATAATTTTAAACAGATGAACAGGCATGCAACAAAAAGATACACCGTATTGTTTAAATGAAGGTGAGTACGCGCGTTTCATGAATGATACAATGAACTGAAAAAATTTGGATTGGTACGAGAAATTAAGGAACGAATGAGCGAAATTAAGAACACGTGGATCGTGGTATTTACGGTATGCGGCAACGTACCTCACTACTAGGTGCTTGGGGGGTACGGATGGGTCCATGGGGCTGAAATAACAAAACAAAGGCAGTTGCTAACAAACACACTGAACATGATAAATTAATCAAATTGTCAAATATGTATAACAACCATCACCATCCTGTCACCATCGCACACTGATTATGGCACATAGACAATTATTGATACAATGAGTTTTTAGAGGATTTTTTTCGATATAATATAGTATTCTTATTACATATTTTTTTCAAATATAGGAATAAAAATAAAAAAAGAAAAAGACACGGGATGTGATGTTTGAAATTTTCTTGTGGATACAACCTTTATTGTTGGAAGGAAGATAAATGTTAAATTAATTAAATTATATAAACTGCGATCAGTCTTTCTTTTTTCTTTTTTAAAGTAAACTATAATTTCTGATCCGTGATGTGTGTGTATGTATGTGTTAAGAGACAAACTTTTATGTAAATTACTATGTTGCGTGAATATAGAGAAGAGCCCAATTTTTACACATAACATTCCTAACAGAGTTACATGCATCATATAAATAATGTGTAAGATTCGTGTGTTTTCGCACTAAATGTTCCTTTTTATGCTATACGAGGATTCAGAAATAAATTGATACACAACATATACAAGACAGTTTTTGACATATTTATTATAATGCGAAATTATTACTATTATTGCTCCTTAAAATTATTAAATAATATTTATATCCTGTTAATTTTACGTAAGCTATTTACTGCCCTCCATAACGTAAAAGATATCTAAATTAGAATTTCTAAATTAGTTTCTCTTTAAATAATGGATTGACTATATATAACTGATAATATCCTAAGGATCCTCCGTGGATGCTTGGACGGGCACGTAATTGGAGTGCAGCAAAAAGCATCATCGCTTAAAGACACATTATATTTATATAATTTGCATACAAATGTTTTTATCTCATATATATATTTTGATATATTTAATATATGACGTGGTCTCTCTCTCTCTCTCTCTTCGCTTTTCTCATTTTCATATACATTAGCTTATTGTGGGTGGCCTTAGGTGTTATTACATATTTTATTACCTTTATAATTTTCTAATATCACTTATATGCATCGATAAATATGATGAATACAGAAACAAATTCTACTAATGACGACTTTTCAAACATTTGTTGGGAATATATTATATCAAAATGCTAAATATGTCAGGATACATTAATTGTGCAATCTCGCAAAACGTAAATTAAAAAAAAAGAAAGAAAACAAAAAAGATTAATTAGAGAAACATTCTATATATTATACAACAGAAATATATAAATACGATTTCTTCAATATTCTTTATACAAAAGAATAGAAAAAAATCATCAATGTCTTAAAAGATCAGAGACGAGTATAAGATTTCTCTGATTTGCTACAAGATAACATATACTTTCGAGCAGCCCAAGGCCACTTTATAGGATACGCCGTGATCTGTCTTAATAAACGTATTAAATATATAGTAATAATAATAATAATAATTATAATAATAATTAATATTATTATTTGCTATATAACATGTAGATACTATTGCGTTGACCAGATATTATTTAATAAATGCTATATTGGCAATGACTGGTGGAAGGATTAATGCATCGAGATTTACCGTGTAATAACGAGATATTTGAAATACACAATATATCGTATAGGAAAAGGCACGTATCTTCGACATATTAAAGTATAACGCACATACACACACACGCGGTCACAACTCTCAAATTTATAATCTACCCAAAAGTCAATATCTGCACTTAGTATTGAGATAAGATGTCATATTCCGGATTTTAACGGTTACGTGTTACACTGTAAAACTTTGCGTCCACATATCAAACAGCTTTTTTGTTCCTGAATTAAAAAAAAGAATATGTTACAAGAAATATACATTTTCTTATACAAAAAAAATTATATAGTTTTATTTTTACGATATACAAATAACTTAAATAAAAGAAATTTATAAAAGCTATTTTTTTTCTTTCTTGGTCAAAAGCTATATAAATAACAATTATTTTAATTAAATTCATTATATCATATTGTACTAAGCACAGTATCGCTCATTGCCACAAGTGAATTAAAATTAATATTTATCTTCATTGTGTTATAACAACAAGATTATCAAAGACATAATATACGTGCTCGAATATTGTATATTTCTAATAATTAAACGATGATATACAATGTAGATTAGGATACATTAATCAATATACAAATAAATCAAGTACCAATTATGGCCTGCCTTGTTCGAATAATATGTTCTATTGTGTGTAGCGCGTTCTCAATAATTTATACAATTTTACAAAAGAATATATTTATCAATAGAATAGAAATAAATTAAAGCAAGGTGGGTAAAAAATCGAAATTGCCGTTCATTGCAATCAAATAGCACTCTAAGATTAATTCATTTATCAATTCTGAGATCAGCATCGGAACAGTGTTTATAACTGCTGATGTATGTAGAGAAATGAGAAAGAAGTTTTAATAACACTAAATATAAAAAAAACTTTTGTGTGTGTAATCTGTTGCTATTTGTTTACAAAACCTCGACAGATGGAATTCCTTCTCCCAATAAAAAAAAAAATTCTGTGTAATCGCATATTGAAAAGCATGTACATTAATCATCGAGGAAAGATAAAGTGGAATGCCTGATACACTTCTCGCACATCTCCATATGTGCTTCTGTTTAATCGTAATGTGTTTATGTTACCAAATTGGTTTCAATTTGTCTTAAATAATAAATGCAATTATACTGACAATTTTAAATTGGCGTGCTAGATAGAACACGCAGAAAAATTAATTCAGAAAGTAATATAAAAATGTGTACATGTATGAAATATGTCAAGTTGCAAAACTATCGTTTTTTTCCTTCATATTATAAATATTAATTGAATTAGCTCCTTTGTCTGTTTAGATTTTTTCATCTTCTCGCAAAGAGAAATACGTTATTTATTATAATTTCAAAATTATCTGTAAATAACGCGAGAAGCCGCACAAGATATCTATTATAAGACAAAAATATTATAGCTCTATCTATATGTCAGTTTCTATACAGACACACAGATTTCATATGTATATGATAACATACATATCCATTCGTTTTAAAAAATATATCTCCTTCTAAATTTCGTTTAAATGAAAAAATCAAAATAAGAAGCCAATATTTTATAAAGTTATTAATAATATTATAAAAAAAGAAAAACCAGACATGAATTCCACGCTATCTTTGAGAGAAGGAATCTATGCTGGATATCAACAAAAAGCCAAAAAAAAAGAAGAAATAAAAGGGAAGTAAAATAGTATACATATGAAACTTGGTCGACCATACATTGTACTAACGTCGTATTATTTAATTAGCGGCATAGATAGAACATTTTATATTACGTGAAAATATGAAAAGCATGCAGTATCGAGTGCAGTACCGAGAATACGCTTCAATCGTTGGCGGTAAAAAAAAAAGATCTTTTTACACGATACAGATTCTACACGTATTATGACTGTAAATGTTATTGCTATCCAACATATTTTCCTAAGAAAGAAAAGGAAAAGAAGGGAAAAAAAAGAAAAAAGAAAAAGGGCACTAAATAATGTTTTATAAGAGATATACAACATTATATTCTATATTCCTCACATTGTAATCCGCGAAAAAAAAAAAAAGAATTAAGAGAAAAGATCGAAACAAAATAAAACAATACATTGGTAGAAGGTGCGATTGCCATGGCGCGATATATCTGCATGCGGGACTCGCTCTCATTTCAGCTCGTGGGAAACAAGGCGAGACTTCCTCCTTCACTTAAAAAAATCTGTCAAAGTACGAACAATCATATATGTACTCTGTTATCGCTAGAAAAATCTGTCTGTTCGTTCGTTAGTGTTAGTATAACTATAACATTTCTCTCTCACACACACTCGCGCGTGAAATTTCACTAGTGTCGTGTAATCGCGGATTTATTATACTTTGATCACGTTAACAAGCATCTTCTGTCGATTTCATCCCTTTGAGGGCAGTATAGAGAGAAAAGGGATACTTAGAACAGTAAGTAATACAAGAAAAAAAAAACAAGGAACATGTGTAAACGTGTCTTTCTCATCATCGATAAAAAATATTGCAGAGAGATAAAGAAGAATTTCGTATTATAGTTTTAATCAGAGAAATGTGTAAAAGACTTTCGCGTTATACTTTTGTATGCGTCGTATGATTTACAAGTAAAACTCGTTTCTCATCACATTTGCGGGATCGCTAACTTTTAAACTAACGGGAAAACGATCTATGCCTGTCGCACATCCGCCGCTACGTAAAAATATTCTCGACGTTTAAAAAATATAATAAGTGTCTTTGAATACACTTATTCTTAAACATTTTAGTGATTTATAATACTTTACGTCGGGGAAGGCATCTATATCATCGCTATCTATCTCGTAAAAATTATATTTTTTTTTTTTGCACTCTTTTACTTTACAAACGAAAGCGAGACAAAAATAAGCTAAAATCTCCGCGAAAAATGGTACAAAAATATACACAAGATATATATCAAGGGTTTCTCTCCTTAAACGGACGACGTAAAGTATATATACATATAGTTACGAGGCAGAGGCTGAATAGGAAAGGCACAGATTCCAGTGCTATATATCTAAGTGCGTAAGGCGATCTCCTGTTTCGTGATTTCAGGAAGACGTCACTTTTCTTTTTTTTTTTCCTTTTTTTTAATAATTATATAATACCACACATGTGTATATACGTATATACGTTATACATAACGATGTGAAATTGAATATAAACGTAGATACGTATATCATATGTATGCTCGGAGATGACGCGCGATGTATGACGATATATGTAAAAAATTCCTAAAAAATGTAATTTATACACTGAAAACTATCTTGAGAACCACAGAATAACGGAGCTGAGAGTTTTCTCGTACATATATATTGTATATGCATCATCACACAATATCCGTTGAGCAGTCGACCGTTCTTATTTTTGCTCACGACATTGGTCGGCACATCGGTCGTGTTTAAAACCCGTGTCTCTATGGCCTTTCGCTTGTCGGAAGGAACTCGAGAGATGAAGCGAAGCTTATACGGTTCACGGCCTGCAGCATATAATATATATAACCGGTATGAATTAATTAATAATGTAGAAACGTCAAGGGGAAATCGTTCTGATGCACCAATGGCTATGGATGCTGTCAATTCCTCAACATTTCTGTTACTTCCGTTACTTATGTACATCGGGAGATGATGAGTACAGTGACCATATCATGAAAGTGAGAAAATTCATTACAACTGTTTATACAACGGATTTGTATATATACTCTCGTTATTCTGCAGTCTTCCATCCTCAGAGCTCCAAGCGCTTTACATGTACGTGTGTGGTATACGCTGTCAATTTGCATTTAAATGTGCGATATGATATATAATTAAAAGTCCCATGTATGTATGTATATATATATATATACACATATACATATATATATATATAATAAATCAAAGATATATGCCTCGCTATAATCGAGTGAGAAAAAGGGATGCACAATGAATATGCGAGGTGGCCTAAATTCAGCTGAGCAATGTGTGTACGTGTATATATATGTATGTATGTATGTGTGTTATTTCCGTCAATCAATCTCGAGAGAATTCATCTTAAAGGCGAATCTCTTATAACGATACAATCTTTAATCCACGGTATACGATAGCAAATTAAAACTCTGTATGAGAAAGCGTTGTGTATATATATCTCGTTACGCATATAGAAGAGATGAAAAAAAATATATATATATATATATATATATTTCTACTTAGAATTCGGCTAAAAAGGGTACAATCTGTCAAGCAAATATTTATGGGACAAACAAATAATATCAATAGATAAAGTACGCGATATGCTTGAGGATGAAAATAGTATATATATATGTATATATAAGTATAAATAAAGCTACAAACAAAATGCATAAGCTACATGTCCTGCGGCTTTCACTGATAATGGTCGCTGCTGGCTCATCGTATTTGTAACTAATAATATCATGTATATATATATATATTTTCATATATATATATATATATAATATGTAATCATCTCAATATAGAATTTCCAGAATTACATAGTCATTGTGCATCCTTAAAAAAACAGAAACTTCATTTTTTTTTCATGCAAACAATAAATACAATTTATCAAACTATGTCAGTATGAGATAGTATATTCAAGTATGTATTAAAATCTCAACACTGAAATGTTTAAGATGCTAAGCATGCACTGAGGGTCCACTGCAAAGCTGCGATATGTTTATGCTAGCACTCTTAGTCTGTACCCGCGTATAAGATCGGATAACGTGATAGTATGAAATTATTAATCTACTTGGCATATATCGAGAAATATAATTCAACGAATGGAGAATGAAAGAAATAAGAGAAATGGAAAAAAAGGCATAACGATGTTTATATAAAATAAACTTTTTGGTTTTCATAGATCTTCTTTGGCGTGTGATTACTTCGTAAAGTAACGCATGCAGTAATTATATAAAAAATGAAGATTAATACTTTCTTCTAATGACATCGGCATACTCTTTTAACGCACATCTCTTTTTTAGATTATTATCATTATTGTCTTGAAGATATTTGATCATTGATAAATTTTCAAAGAAATTTCGTAGCTAATTAGAATAGTCGATTAGGAATGAAATTAAAAATTACAAAAGTCAATCCAATCTTGTATATCTTATACGTGATAATTGACTTAGACTGTAAAATATACGTGAACCAACCGTAAAAAAATATTCGTAAATGAACGACGGTGGAGTAACATTTCGATCGTACACGTTATTGGCATGCTATCAAATATCGGTAACGGTAAATTGTGGATTCAAACAATCATGAAACTTACCGTTTGGAGAACTTCGAGGATAATTTCGAGAAGAAGGACGGCCTTGCTAGAGGGCTAATCGCATTCGTGTCCTGCGTTTGTGTGTGACCCTGAAAGCATGATATATTTGTGTTAAATTAGTGGTATAAAATATATATAGTAAATAGTGCTGTCGGTATAAACCGGGCTATCTCTCTACACCCGGTTACTCTCAATTAATTTCCGAAATACCAGGATATTAACAGCACTAGTATATAAATATGCCAAGACAAATCCTCTTATCGATCTTTCCTTTTTTTCAATTGCAAACTATTTTTTTCTTTTTATGAATACTCACCTGAGTGTGATTTCGCTGTGCTCTATTTTGGCCAGAATGAAACGTACTGCGACTCGGTACATTCCGTGGAAACGCTGGCGTAGTGGCTGTGGCCAGTCTGTTGCTCGCGCATACACCCAAGCTAACAACAGACGATGGTCTTTGTTTTAGTAAGGGCTACAATTGTATGATAAATATATAAAGGCTGAGACTTATCGGTGACTTTATAGTTTTATGTGTACTACTGGCAATTTGCGGAGAGCATATACATTACAATTGGTACCCAATTGATTAAATTTAAGACAAGCTGTAGCGTCAAGATGCAGAAAAACAAGTATAATAAGATAAATTGTTATTCAATTGCTATGCGTATCTATTTTTGGAGATGTTGTTTTAACCAAGCAAGCAATTTATAGCTCACAAATGAAGCTTAGCATGTAGAATGTAGACGAAGCGAAATTCATAAGAAATTAGTTTATATTGATCGAGAATATGCGACAAGTTAGAGACGGACGCAATATATTTCAATCGTTTGAAATGTAACTGCACATGCTTTAGAAACAGATGATTTCAAGAGTACAATTGTGCTATTCGTGAGAGAAATACATTTGAAATACCGCAATCGCGTGATCAGTAGCGAGATTATAATCGCAAATGGCGATGAATGGCTTATAAATATATATAATTGAACTATATGCGAATTATATTCGATATATATTTATAATGTGATTTATGCACAATAATTAAATATTTCTTAATTAATAAGCTATGCTTATTATGATGTAGCGACTCTTCAAAGATAACGGAAAAAAATGTAGAACAAAAAATATATATAGATGGCTATTCGTATACTAGAAATCAAAATAATCAATATAGAATAAATGTTTTCTTAATCAATTGATTATGATGACATACTTCTCAAAATATATCGTTGCAATATCCTACATGATTAAGCTCACTCTAAAATAATCAAAGTCATTTTAAAAATTGCCAAGTGAGTGAAGAGTGTAAGCATGGAACTGTATAATGAACAAATGAGATATGTGTCATTTAACGATGCCGTAATTAAGCTTAGATGATTTATGTACGAATAAAGAAAAAACTGATGTAATAATTTAGTAGAGATCTAGCAAAATTTAATTCATGCAAATGAGAAAGAGAAAGGTAAGAGAGAAAAAGAGAGAGAGAAAACCGAGTAGAAAGAAATGAGAAAATGACCAGAAACTATCCTAGAGAACCTATGTGGACAATCTTTCAAGTAGAACATACTCGCAGAGATAGCACTATTTTGTTTCCCCGAGACGACGAGTTCCCTCGTAATCCGCTCCGACTATATTCACGAGAAGGCTAATGCAATACCTCAGATACCTGGTTACCCTAAGAAAGTTAGTGGCCCAAGAAAGAAGTAAACATAAACGAAAGAAGAGAAACGCATATATCTGAAATATACTTTATAAATGTGCAGGAATAAGAGTATGCACAGGTTATTTGGTTCTTGTATTAGAGGGACATTGTGGGGGCCTGTACCTCTGCCTAAGGGGGTCAGCGGTGGCGAGTAAGGAGTTGTGGGCGTTGCGTGGTTGTGGGTCCAGTAGTGAATGGTCGCTGGGGGGTACACCACTTGAGGAACGGTGACCTGCGCTGATGCTCGCAGACTTGGTGTGACCCCGCGTCGGTCTAGTGCCCTCGCCCAGGCTGTGCACAAAACTAATCAGCAAATCGCCGGATTGCCCTATCTTCCACGATTTAATTCTACTTTCTTTCTTTCTTCTTATACAATAATAATAAAAGAGTAGAATTTTCTCAAGACTATATAGAGAGAAGCAACATGAGACAAAATTTGAGATTTACGAAATTTTCAGACATCGAAAATATATTTCGTTATTTATGTGCACGATATGATAATGGATTTTTCATCTCTAGATAAAGTTAAGGGATTAGTATCAAGAATTTTTTGCCCTCTGCTTATGTTTCAAGTTTTAATGTTAATTTTCATTTATCGTATATCGCTAAAAAATAAATAAATAAATAAATATCTGATAAATTTATTAATTGTTCTTTTTAATAATTTTAAAAGATTTGCACACATATATAAATGTATAGTAGAGTCTCGTTAATTTTAGTCCTTCAGGGTGGTAAAAGTAAACAATTTCTGGAAAACAAACATTAACAAATTCGTCCGCAGCGCGAGCTGCTCATTTTCCGTATTATATTTGTATGCAATTGCGTACACAAAACTGTCGCCTATCACATAATCTGTCTATTATAAAAAAAAGGAGATACGATACATTTTTATTTGTAAAAATACGTGTAGTGGACCATCAAAATTAACAAGGATCAAATTTGAGGAGACTCCACTATACATGCAAAACATATAGTTCATGTATTCTGTAGAAATATATTTTTTTGTAACAGATACTCTCATCGAAAGGGATGTAAAAGGAAATAAGGATAGAAGGAGGAGAATGAAAATACTAACTGCTGCAGAGCTAATACAACCTCGCGAAATGCTCGTACGATAAGAGAAACAAGAAAATACGATGCTGTAAAGTAAAGATGAAAAAAATGTATGATGATATTAATGAATGTGTCTAAACTTCCTTCTCGACTAGATATCCACTATACATGCAAAACATATAGTTCATGTATTCTGTAGAAATATATTTTTTTGTAACAGATACTCTCATCGAAAGGGATGTAAAAGGAAATAAGGATAGAAGGAGGAGAATGAAAATACTAACTGCTGCAGCTAATACAACCTCGCGAAATGCTCGTACGATAAGAGAAACGAGAAAATACGATGCTGTAACGTAAAGATGAAAAAAATGTATGATGATATTAATGAATGTGTCTAAACTTCCTTCTCTTAATGTTAATTTTCATTTATCGTATATCGCTAAAAAATAAATAAATAAATAAATATCTGATAAATTTATTAATTGTTCTTTTTAATAATTTTAAAAGATTTGCACACATATATAAATGTATAGTAGAGTCTCGTTAATTTTAGTCCTTCAGGGTGGTAAAAGTAAACAATTTCTGGAAAACAAACATTAACAAATTCGTCCGCAGCGCGAGCTGCTCATTTTCCGTATTATATTTGTATGCAATTGCGTACACAAAACTGTCGCCTATCACATAATCTGTCTATTATAAGAAAAAGGAGATACGATACATTTTTATTTGTGAAAATACGTGTAGTGGACCATCAAAATTAACAAGGATCAAATTTGAGGAGACTCCACTATACATGCAAAACATATAGTTCATGTATTCTGTAGAAATATATTTTTTTGTAACAGATACTCTCATCGAAAGGGATGTAAAAGGAAATAAGGATAGAAGGAGGAGAATGAAAATACTAACTGCTGCAGCTAATACAACCTCGCGAAATGCTCGTACGATAAGAGAAAAAAAAAAAACGAAAACCAAGCACACGTCCAATATCCCATAAGAAGTAAGAATACAGATAAAAGAAATGTAACTAAGAAAATTTCGCTATATAAAATTTTGTTTCCTTTTAATAATATCTAAATATTCTCTATAATTTAATAATATGTAGATTTCCTCTTTTTGCGCAAAATAGACCGTATTTCTCGAGTAAAAATAATTGGATACCACTATACCTGGGTACTTCGTTGGTTCTTTCGGTAGATGAAGATGATGTTTTCGCTTGATCGTAGGAGATGGTGCTACGTCGACCAACAGAACCAGGAGCAGGTGAGGTAAGTGGTCGACCACCACCTACTCCTGCATTCATTGTGTTGCTCTTGCCTACCCTCGTTTTACCACCGGGACTTGTACCCACGCCTAGAATGAACATTGTCACTGCAAGCCTCATTAGATGTGGTTCAACACAAAACAAAAAGCAACATACTTCAAATTATTAAACAAACACGAAAACAAATTATTAAAGGGTCATGAACTGAAAATGCGTGAAACGTTTAACCTGCTTCCATATTAAACGGAAAACTTTAGAGTAAAGAATAATGTTAAATGATTGTATGACTTTTTGCACATGTCAACATGTAACAAAGACCATAAGTAATTATATTTTAGATATATATGGCAATGAAATTGTGACAAAAAGATTGTGTATTCAATCTTGCAAACATATAAGAAACAGGCATGACCAACTTGACATTAAGGACATGTAGAATTAGAATCTTTAACAACATAGCTATATCAATTATATATGCAAGAATGTATGATTTATGAACACTAAGTGATGAATAATAAAAATAACCGGACAAATCAATGAAATTAATTGTACACTTGATAAATATTAGCTACTGAAAGGAACACTGCGACCTTATTCAAAGCAACCTCATCCAAAGAAGTATCTTTTCGCTGAAGCATCACGAAGTAAACATAGCATGACAAATAATCGAATAATATGTTCGTTGACAAGAGCTCCTCAAAGTTTTCTTCAACAACAAAATGAACTCACTGGTATCTAATTGCCCAGGCGGTTGACTGTTTTTCGGTGCAGAGGGCCGGCTTGCAGAAACACGAGCGCTATTTTCTTTAATCGTAGCTGCGTCCACGGTATTTTGTCGTTTAAAATTGCTACCACCGCTTCCAGTTACAGCTGCGCCAGTTACCGCAGTCGCGTGATTGTGATTCGTTGCATTACCCGGACTTGGCGCGCCTCCTGATGAAGAAAGAAAATTATGTAACAAAAAAGTCTTTGTTTTCAGACACGCACAGCATTTATACTACTAATAGATGTATAACAATTTTGTCCTTTTTTTGTTACCATTTCAATGACATATTGATGACTATTAGGATATACAAATTTAGTTTAACAATGTAATTCATGTGTTACTACAACTATTAACTACGGTTACTATCTCTTTCGAACGTAAATAACACAGAAAGTTTGTTGCACAAAATTCACAGAATTTCCGATCACAAAGAGCACAAGCTGTCTTTTGTCTTACCCCGAAGTTTGGCAAATATCCTTTATCCATGTTTGTCGTCTGACGGTAAAGTTTATAGACTGCCATACCATATATTAAGAGTTACAGTTAAAATACACGGGTAAATAACACTTACGAAGAGTTTCACCACCAGACGAGGCCCGTCTACTGGGTTTTGGATTGCTAGCAGAAATACTTCTGTGAACACCTCTGTGCGATGGGCTTTGTACCGCGCCACCTGTTCCCCCGCTGCTGCCACCTCCACCACCCGAGCTGACTTGTGGTGGAATGTTACGCAGCGATAATGAACTACCCGACCGTGATCCGTCGCTTTCAGGCTGTTAAGAGATAAAAATCCACGTGAGATTGATGTAAGAAAGAATTCAGAAAGATGCTGTTATAAATATTATTATAAAGTTGATATATCCTGCACTTACATCTGTCGTTTTCCTGCCTAGAAGCAAGTACGTGGCGAATACGTCATCGTACTTCGCTTGTCCTAAGGAATCCTCTATCTCGCTTCGAGTGTATCCCAAACTGGCTAGGGCCTCTGAAATGTTAAGACGCGGCGACATAGTCATATCCACTAAGACATTTTCTCAACATTGACGCAGCCAAAATTAATTAAAAAAATGCAAACGAATCAAGTCGAGAAGCTCGCTACATATTGTTATCATAACAAATATACTATTTAAAATACATTGAATTCTTAAAAATTACTTGGTCTCTTCATCGCCTTTACGATGCACAATGTCCGCATTTAGACACTCGTTAAGGGTAAGTCGGTGTTAGTTCGTTTTTAATAAAAATTTTAGTATTAATTATAGAATTTTATTTCACGATTAAGTTGTTCTTATACGATAATTAAAAACTAATTGAAATCACTATAATTGAAATCACAGATACACACACATGAATGTAAATATATCAGATCAAATAATAATTCGAAAAACAAACTGTAGGATGTTTTCACGCTGTGGGTTGTCTAAGTAATATTAAGTAAGATTGATACATTTCGTTAATATACTAATACTACTAACTAGTCATTATACATTTTAAACTACTCTACAAAAACACCCAATCATGAACGTTTCCTATATTAAAAAGTTACATCAAAATCCATTTTATTTAACCGATTGTGCAATTTATCTTATTATTATATTTCTTATTATATTTGAGATGTTGCTGTTTATGTAGATCAAAGAAAAATGAAAGGATAATCTCTCTCAAGTAATCTCGCGCAATGTAGGAACATTCATAACGAGTGCGATATTAAACGTAAAAACGGTAAGTAGTAAGTGTTATGTACATACTGGCAGACTCACCTATCCTCTTGTGGTCTCTATAATCGGGTTCAGGTTCTAAGTACGGTTTTAATTCGTCATCTTCGTATCCCATGTTCATCCATTTGTCCTTCATTATATTCTGCAATAATAAAGAGATGGTCAATTTGATTTCTTGAATACAAATCGCGCGTATTTAAAAAAAAATATAGCATCGTTAAAATACCAATTAATATTATCTTGTAAGATGATAAAAAAAACTTAAAAATAAAGCAAAACAATTCGAACCTGATCATCACATACCTCTAGTGAGGCTCTCTTCGTCGGATTGAGCACCAAAAATTTTTTGAGAAGATTTTCACAGTCGGTGGACATATAAAATGGGATCCTATATTTCCCCTCCCTCAATTCCCTCAACGTCGAACCATCGAAAGGCAGTGAACCGGATACCAGTGTGTACAGGATTACGCCTAACGACCATACATCGACTTCCGGGCCGTCGTATTTCTTTCCTGCAAAACAAGAATCGATTGAGCGTGGATTAAATTTAAAAAATTCGTAGGAAAATTCGGATGAAATGACGTCATTTCCTCGAAGAAGGAAAATTCTTTACCTTGAAAGAGCTCCGGGGCGGCGTAAGGCGGCGAACCGCAAAATGTATCTAACTTGTTACCGGGTGTGAATTCATTGCTAAAACCAAAATCGGCGATCTTGATATTCATTTCACTATCGAGCAACAGGTTCTCGGCTTTCAAGTCCCTGTGAATAATCTTTTTTTGATGGCAGTATTGCACAGCAGAAACGATCTGCCTGAACTTCGCCCTCGCCTCTTTCTCCTTCATCCGACCATGCAGGACCAGATAATCGAAGACCTCGCCGCCGCTGGCATATTCCATTACCAGGTACAGAGTTTTTTCAGTCTCGATTACTTGGAACAGTTTTACTATGTTCGGATGATCGAGCATCTTCATTATCCTGACTTCTCGAAACAGCTGTAATTGTCCAATATGCATCAGCATGAATCACGTAGTTGGAGTTATGGAAATATGCGTGTGTGTAATTTGAAGAATCTCTTTTTGTCAAATTATGACAATACAATATGACTCGAGCAATGATAGCTGTATGACTGTGGTCTTCTTATGAAATTATTAGCAATCAAGTTAAATGACTATGACGACTAATAAAAAAATATAATTACGCACAATTTCTATCGCTACATCTGTCTAATCCTATTTTTTAATTTTTGCGCAAAAGAGACAAATAAAAAAACACAATACAACGGCGAGAATGTTACCTTTTGAAGGCTACCAGGATTCAATTGAGTCTTATCGATGATCTTGATGGCTACTTCCTTTCCCGTGGGTACGTGCTTGGCAAGTTTCACCTTGGCAAAGTTACCCTTGCCGATGGTTTTCAGTAATTTGTACTTGCCGATGTGAGGCTCCTCGGAGGTTCGACTCCTCGAAGAGAGTCGACCTCCGGTACTCGACACTCCTACGCCATCCCCCGTCTGTAACAAGCAAAAAATCGCACGTCAATGAATTGTGCGGACAATCTTATTGCTATATCAATGATAGTATGTAAAACGGTTTCGCGAAATGTTGCTCTTACATCACACGAGACGCAGCAAGTGCTTTCTTTTATATACACAGATGCCACAACATACACACAAATATATTTAAATAAATTATATAAATAATTTTTTGACTTGTGTACGTTTCTCATATCGTGATTCTATACTTTTGCGCAATATCAATTGTACATATCGAAAAATGAAAAATAACATGTATATGTATATATAGTTAATTTAACCTTTCAAAAATATATTTTAATTATTAACAAAGTAAAATTAGCGATTAAATATATGTTATAATATATGTTTAAAACAAGAAATATTATTATATACAAAATTTAGAGCTAACGTAATATAATTCTACAGATAATCTAAATCTGATAAATTAGAGATGATTTGGAATGCTATACGCAACGTGCACATTAATATTTATTTCAAGGAATGAGAGAATGCTATGCGAGAAGTTGTGTCGTAAATAGCCAACTATTTTAGAAACTCAGCGCGGGTCGTTTATCTTGAACAAAATAGAAAAAGGAAGAGGAAAATTGATAAAGTCGGGATATCTAAATACGAAGCCATGCTCGATGAACAGAGAATGTGCTTGTGAATTGTGTAAAAAACATCTAGAATTTGTACCACTGCCTAAAAATAAAATAAAATGAGATGATTTGGAATGCTATACGCAACGTGCACATTAATATTTATTTCAAGGAATGAGAGAATGCTATGCGAGAAGTTGTGTCGTAAATAGCCAACTATTTTAGAAACTCAGCGCGGGTCGTTTATAAATTTGCGGAACGGGGTACGGGAAATACGGGGCAAGTGCTCGTTAAAAGCACGGCGCGCATTCCTCGAGAATACGAGGAATCTCTCGCGAATCTCTTTCCGCGCGCTCATTTATACGCGTAAACGCGCGTATACGCACGTGGCATATCCGAGATGCATAGCGGTGATGGCGTCGGCGACAGCCACTGTCAATGGAATTAACTAAACCTCGTTAAAGTGCACCAGATACAGGATTGTTTTGAATGGAAAACGCGGCCGGGTTCTTTCGCGTTACTCGCGAGGGCGGATCGCGCTTGTGTCGCGTCGAAAAAATTTATATTTATTTATTATATTTATTAT